CACTCAACTGCAAAAACACACTGCTAGTCGCAGTCGCTGGCATCTTGGGCGTAGCTCTGCTAGAAAAGCACTAAAGTGCAAACCCTCGGCGAAATGGGCATGCGCGGTACGGCTAATTGATAGGCTGGGTTGCTAGATTTAGTATGCGTTTGCTCGTGGTCTCCCGCTAGTAGCTCGCAGAGAGTCTGTAGTAGATAGTCGATACACGCCCTTCGATGTGACTTAGAGCAAGCGGACCCGGTCGAGGTTAACATGGGAAAAGAGGCTCCAGGGTCTGTTGCACGTGTAGAGCCACACAGAACACATCGATTCCCAGTCATGATAGTAACAACTCTCCTTTCTCAGCCCAGATCTCTGCGCAGGAACAAGCTAGAGCGTCCGTTATTTTTCTCACACACTACGTTCCCCGTAGACATTCTGGAGCCGGACCGAACGGAGACTCTGAATGTGACGTCACGTTCAATTATCTCGCCCACATTGCATTCGTGCAACTGCAGGCCCGTATAAGGTCGCGTCGAAAGGAAAACCGCAATCGAGAAAGAACAGAGCTGCACGTCCGTCGTTTGGTTGTCGTCTTCTACTGACAGTTTCGAAAAAGAAAATCGCCACAGAGAGTTGTTTATCCGTAAGTCTGCTGTGTAGTGCCTTGCCCCTGTCAGAGCCTTTTATACCTGCGTACACATGTGATATTCAACAAACATCACATGTATTTGTCTCTGGTATTCAGCCAATGGGGTGTGTACAGTAATTCTCACGCGACAGGGCGATTTTGTACTATGGCAACTAAACAGCTTGTTGCTCTCAAGGAACTCAGACAGTTTTTCAGTTCTGTCTTACACCCATGCATACAATAATACATCTAGTAGTGACATCGTCATGACAGGGACAAAAATTCTGATCCGCTAAAAAGTTGGCATAAACGGTGCGCATACTTAGCAGGTTTGATTAACAATTCCTCTACAGCTTCAAGAGGCCAGTGATTGCAGTGGATGATCAAGTCATGGCTCCAAGTAAGTAATTAACCTTCAGCTTGAAATTGCAGTGAGTTTTACAGTACATGGTTTGTGTATGCATGTGTGTGTTTGCCTGTTACCATGCTAATAATTTATGGCACTTCAAAGAGAATAAGCAATTTAAATGCCTACAGTTGGCTCACTTTGCTCGTCAATTAATTACAAACCAAAGTTTACTTAACTACTCATGTACAATTTATCTTCCTTAGTCACATGTAATCATGCTCTATGTATTTTTATATCTTGTGCTACCTTCAGCAGAGTTGTCCTGTATTCATGGGTTGCATGCATTGTGGTTGTGGTGGGGGGTGGACATTGTAGTGTATTCATCTGATATCTGATATATACTCTGTGTCTCTCTGGTATATATAACTACGCCACTACCCCACACCTGAAGGAAGTGTTTTCCACTGGTGTAGATTCCACGTCGTTTACACGTCGTCTCTGAATAATGTCAAAACCTCTAGTACGACCCGCACCTGTAGTATACACACAACATATATTATTGACTCATGAATGAGGTGATATGTAGGTTTAGGGGCACCTGCAAGAGAGCGCTATCTACTGAGTTCTCACGCGCAGATAAAACCAGAGAGCAGAGCCTACTGGTCCTTTCTGGTCAGAGAGCAAAACCAACTACTTGTGAACTTCACACTTACTTCTTTTTCTCTTTCCCTCTCTTCCTCCTGTGTCACTAGTCTTATCATTATTCCAGATCCTGTCACTCAGAGAGAAATGGTCTAGTGAGTATTCTTCCATGTGCTACTACAACCCACGTACACGCCACGTACCCTGGTCCAGTCAATGACCCGTACAATAGCCTCTTTGGAGGTGAAGTGTTGCTGTAGTAGCGACCTTCCTGACTGAATACGAAACTAGCTGCATCTAGAGAAGGCAGTTTTGGCAAATTCCTGAACCACCAAGTATGGTAATACTGTTGTAATCATAGTCCAGAGTGTGGATCGACTCAAAACTGGCCGGTTTACTCCTCTCACAGAAGATGTGTGCCTTCATGAACGTGGTGAAGTAGGGAGCTCCATTTCACATGTTGGTAGAGTGTGGGTCATTGCGACACACTCTCGCCAGCCGGGAATAGATGATGTCGTCTGTCACCAGCTTCTCACGGAGGAATTTAAATGAGAACTGGTAGTCCTCCTCTAGCCCTGTTGGAGATGGTGTGGGTGAGTGGTTGGCCTTCTCTGTCCCAACAAACACGATAGGGAACTGTAGCCAGTTGTTGTTGGCGTTAATAGTCTGGAACATGTTATCCGTGCCCAGTGTCTCGGGGTCGGAGGGCTTGTCAAGGTGATGTTTTTGTAGGAGATGCTGAAGTGTCAGCCGTCCCAGACGTTCCCGCGGAAGAAACAGCAGACTGTAGACTGGATGTGAGTCTGTGGCTGGTGTGATGCAATATTAGCACAGGGTCGACTGAACGAGTCAGTAAAACACACAAATCTTGAACACACACGGAAGTTAGAGTATACTTAGTGTTACTGTACTAACATACATCACCTATCAATTACACCTTGAACCCAATTGCTCTCTTTTTGTGCCTACAATTTCTGAAGTTTCCGAACTGGGTGAACTCAGGGTATTATCATGTGATTCCATCTAATGCCACCTCTCCCCTCCTGCGGTTGAGAGTCTATCTGCAGATATGCCGACTCCTGTATAATCATACAAGTAAACTGTCCACCAATCGTCCTGCACCATGGCAGTGGTTGACAATTGTAAGTGAAACATGTATGTGAAAGATATGCCTAAAAATTATGTAGCTACATGTATATGACACAATTTTTCATTAATTGCTGTTTATTATTTACATCATCCAGGAATTGTATACTAGACATCTGTACGTAATAGAAACCTTGGCAGCGAGGCTCAACTCCAGCACGTGTCCCACACACCAGCAGTATGTCCTGGCCTGGGACCCTCTTGTACACCCTGATGGTTGTGGCGGGCAAACCACCACAACAACAGTGCAATAGCTACATACATTGCCATACACACATGCTCACCCATATTTTTCTCCATAATAACAGATTTGTATAATGTGCAACATTATGGCCTCTCACATAACTGTTCAAAGTACATGTTTACTGTATAAATTCGTGGAGATCTGGAGTAGCATAGCTCAACCTGAGTAAAGGACCCAGGCAAAAAGATCCAGAGCGACAGTCAGGCTTTATTACTGGAAGTCGAATACACCAGCAAAAGTGAGAGCTACAACTAGTCCTCCTTTCCCATCTAACTGCTGGATAAAGCTACATTGTTTTCCTCCCCTGGGATGTGCAAGCTGTGTAAAATATAGGCTCCGTCATTCATGCTCTGTCTGTTGCCATTACTGGATTGTCAGGGCGGTCACTGGTGGTGCAGGTGTCAATGTTGGAGGTGGGAAGGGTTAGAGCTGTGTCAAGGTCAAGATTCAGCCGGTACGGGGTGTCTCTACATAAATAACACACACACACACACACACACACACACACACTCGGTGAGTCACATGCACCATAAAGTGGGTGTTTTTATTATACTATGTGCTTGTGTAGGCTTCCTAGCTAGCCTTTATCACACACACACACACACACACACACACACACAGAGTAAAAAATCCCCTTTGCATCACCATTATTGTAGTAAAAACCATGCGCATGCTCAGCCACCCGCGCAATAATTAGATTACCACTACTCCACGCGGTGGTTGAAAAAGATGCCAGCAGGTATGTGTATCTAGTTTAATCTTGTCACAACAAGGCAATAAGGGTGTAGGTAAACTTCCTGCGCATGCATAGCTACTACTTTTTTTTACTGCCACAACCTAAAATAGGACATACAAAAAAACGGACAAAACTATACCATGACAAACTAAGAGCTTAGCAAGACAAACTGACAATACTGTGTCTATACCAGACTCCATTACGTGGGAGTGGTCCCGCCCCAGTGGTAGTGAGGCACAGGTCGGGAGATTAAAGGGACCGAAACCTGTGACCTACACGATGATCTGCAGTGGAGCTCCCCTGATGACTGGTGCATTACATAAACGACAGACAAAGGAGACAGGGTTTGCTAGCTGTTAGGGGTGGGGATAGGGGTAGTGTAGCACGTGTACCAAATATAATAGTATGTGGAAGCACACTGTGGTTTGTAACTCCATGCACAGCCTGAGTGTATGTCTGGTGGTCCGGCGCTTTGATGACGCCGACAAGTCCCCTCCAGTCTCTGTCACTACACCTCGTTCCCCACAACTCTCTCCCCCTCCTTTCTCTTCTTAACCCATACCAAACACACACACACACACACACACACACACACACTCGGTGAGTCACATACACCATAAAGTGGGTGTTTTTATTATACTATGTGCTTGTGTAGGCTTCCTAGCTAGCCTGACTGGGTTCATCGATATTGAGCAATATTATTCTGTGATGTGTGTGCATCTTAACGAAGGGAAATGTTTATGGTGTACTTGCACTGCCACTTCATGGTGTCACTATGATGTGTTAGCTCACTAGTTACGCTGTTCCAATCAAACGTTTCCGTTTGCTTGGAGGTTGATGTCAGATATATAAATGTAATCTTCCACTAGCAACAGAAATCTCATCAGGAAATCGGGTAGAATCACCAGTTTCTACAGGATGGTGTGGTGATAGTGAGAAGTCAAGCTAGCTAGTTAGCTAGCTTCCCTGTAGCTAGAGGTAATCACTAATGCCGAATTTCTACCCTATCGAGTATATTAGCATGAGAATAGGGGTGATCTGCGTTTTTCACGCGCTGCACTAGCCTTCGCACAGCGCACGGCCAGGCGGACAACGGCAGGCCAGCAGAGCCACGCCCCCACAGTTCCGCTAAAGAACTCACCGTTGTACGTCTCAACACCTCCCCTGTCACGCTAGTGCAGCGCGTGAAAAACGCAGATGACCACTAATCTCATGCTGAGAATATTATACTTACGGTAGAAAATCCGCTAGCTAGCTTGACTTCTCACTATCACCACACCACCCTGTAGAAACTGGTGATTCTACCCGATTTCCTGATGAGATTTCTGTTGCTAGTGGAAGATTACATTTATTATATCTGACATCAACCTCCAAGCAAACGGAAACGTTTGATTGGAACAGCGTAACTAGTGAGCTAACACATCATAGTGACACCATGAAGTGGCAGTGCAAGTACACCATAAACATTTCCCTTCGTTAAGATGCACACACATCACAGAATAATATTGCTCAATATCGATGAACCCAGTCAGGCTAGCTAGGAAGCCTACACAAGCACATAGTATAATAAAAACACCCACTTTATGGTGTATGTGACTCACCGAGTGTGTGTGTGTGTGTGTGTGTGTGTTGTTTGGTATGGGTTAAGAAGAGAAAGGAGGGGGAGAGAGTTGTGGGGAACGAGGTGTAGTGACAGAGACTGGAGGGGACTTGTCGGCGTCATCAAAGCGCCGGACCACCAGACATACACTCAGGCTGTGCATGGAGTTACAAACCACAGTGTGCTTCCACATACTATTATTATTTGGTACACGTGCTACACTACCCCTATCCCCACCCCTAACAGCTAGCAAACCCTGTCTCCTTTGTCTGTCGTTTATGTAATGCACCAGTCATCAGGGGAGCTCCACAGCAGATCATCGTGTAGGTCACAGGTTTCGGTCCCTTTAATCTCCCGACCTGTGCCTCACTACCACTGGGGCGGGACCACTCCCACGTAATGGAGTCTGGTATAGACACAGTATTGTCAGTTTGTCTTGCTAAGCTCTTAGTTTGTCATGGTATAGTTTTGTCCGTTTTTTTGTATGTCCTATTTTAGGTTGTGGCAGTAAAAAAAAGTAGTAGCTATGCATGCGCAGGAAGTTTACCTACACCCTTATTGCCTTGTTGTGACAAGATTAAACTAGATACACATACCTGCTGGCATCTTTTTCAACCACCGCGTGGAGTAGTGGTAATCTAATTATTGCGCGGGTGGCTGAGCATGCGCATGGTTTTTACTACAATAATGGTGATGCAAAGGGGATTTTTTACTCTGTGTGTGTGTGTGTGTGTGTGTGTGTGTGTGATAAAGGCTAGCTAGGAAGCCTACACAAGCACATAGTATAATAAAAACACCCACTTTATGGTGCATGTGACTCACCGAGTGTGTGTGTGTGTGTGTGTGTGTGTTATTTATGCAGAGACACCCCGTACCGGCTGAATCTTGACCTTGACACAGCTCTAACCCTTCCCACCTCCACCTCCAACATTGACACCAGCACCACCAGTGACCGCCCTGACAATCCAGTAATGGCAACAGACAGAGCATGAATGACGGAGCCTATATTTTACACAGCTTGCACATCCCAGGGGAGGAAAACAATGTAGCTTTATCCAGCAGTTAGATGGGAAAAGGAGGCTAGTTGTAGCTCTCACTTTTGCTGGTGTATTCGACTTCCAGTAATAAAGCCTGACTGTCGCTCTGGATCTTTTTGCCTGGGTCCTTTACTCAGGTTGAGCTATGCTACTCCAGATCTCCACGAGTTTATACAGTAAACATGTACTTTGAACAGTTATGTGAGAGGCCATAATGTTGCACATTATACAAATCTGTTATTATGGAGAAAAATATGGGTGAGCATGTGTGTATGGCAATGTATGTAGCTATTGCACTGTTGTTGTGGTGGTTTGCCTGCCACAACCATCAGGGTGTACAAGAGGGTCCCAGGCCAGGACATACTGCTGGTGTGTGGGACACGTGCTGGAGTTGAGCCTCGCTGCCAAGGTTTCTATTACCTACAGATGTCTAGTATACAATTCCTGGATGATGTAAATAATAATAATGAAAATTTGTGTCACATACAGGTAACAACATAATTTTTAGGCATATCTTTCACATACATGTTTCACTTAAAATTGTCAACCACAGGTTTCTTCTAAAGTCAGGTTAAGTAATGTTATGGTTTCGCTATTCATGATCAGACACCTGCCATGGTGCAGGACGATTGGTGGACAGTTTACTTGTATGATTATACAGCAGTCGGCATATCTGCAGACAGACTCTCAACCGCAGGAGGGGAGAGGTGGCATCAGATGGAATCACATGATAATACCCCGAGTTCACCCAGTTTGGAAACTTCAGAAATTGTATGCACGAAAAGAGAGCAATTGGGTTCAAGGTGTAATTGATAGGTGATGTATGTTAGTACAGTAACACTAAGTATACTCTAACTTCCTGTGTGTGTTCAAGATTTGTGTGTTTTACTCGTTCATCTGGACCATGTAGCTATATTGCATACCACCAGCCACAGACTCACATCCAGTCTACCAGTCTGCTGGTTTCTTCCCCGGGAACTCTGGGGACGGCCGACACTTCAGCATCTCCTACAAAAACATCACCTTGACAAGCCCTCCGACCCCGAGACACTGGGCACGGATAACATGTTCCAGACTATTAACGCCAACAACAACTGGCTACAGTTCCCTATCGTGTTTGTTGGGGCAGAGAAGGCCAACCACTCACCCACACCATCTCCGACAGGGCTAGAGGAGGACTACCAGTTCTCGTTCATATTCCTCCGTGAGAAGCTGATCAAAGAATGACATCATCTACTCCCAGCTGGCGAGATTGTCGCAATGACCCGGGCTCCACCAGCACGTCAAATGGAACTCCCTACTTCACCACGTTCATGAAGGCACTGTGAGAGGAGTAAACCGGCCAGTTTTGAGTTGATCCACACTCTGGACTATGAGTACAACAGCATCAGTGAGTTTACCATACTATGGTCCCTTGGTGGTTCAAGAATTTGCTAAAACTGCCTTCTCTCAATGCAGCTAGTTTTGTATTCAGTCAGGAGGGTAGCTACTACAGCAACACTTCACCTCCAAAGAGGCTATTGTACGGGTCATTGACTGGACCAGGGTACGTGGCGTGTATGTGGGTGTAGTAGCACAAGGAAGAAATACTCACTAGACCCATTTCTTCTCCTGAGGACAGGATCTGGGAATAATTATAAGACTAGTGACACAGGGAGGAAAGAGAGGGAAAGAGAAAAAAGGGGGAAAGTATGTGTGAAGTTCACAAGTAAAGTTTGGTCTTTTGCTCTCTGCAGAAATGGACCAGTAGGCTCTGCTCTCTGTGTTTATCCTGCTGATAACTCAGTAGAGAGCTCAGCAGGTGCACCCTGTACCTTACATATCACTCATTCATGAGTCCAATAATATGTTGTGTTTACTAACAGGTGCGGGTCGTACTAAGAGTGTTTTTGACATATTCAGAGAAGACGTGGTAAATGACGTGGAATCTACACCAGTGGAAAACACTTCCTTGAGGTGTGGGGGAGTGGCGTAGTTATATGCACCACTAGGTGCGCATGCGAAGTAAAGGGTTACTGTACTTGTCGTGTGTGTATCTGTCTGTCTTTCTGTCTGTCCGTTCCATAACGTTTCACTTCACGAGCCATGAATCGCTCCACAAACAATACCACGTATTCACCGTCGGATAAAGGTCGAAAAGAATGTAGAATTTTCTCTGAAACTGCTGCGTCCGAGAGTTATGGCGTGAAACAATTAGAACAGGCTTTCCTCAAGCGGGTCCACTTGCTCTGTGTATCTTGAAGGCACAGTATGTCGCAATGAAGTGCGTCCCGCATGCTATTTACTACTGTAGCAGCCTGTGTTAGGCTCTCTGCGAGTTACTAGTCGGAGACCACGAGTAAACGCATACTAATAGCCAACCCTATCAATTAGCGCACACGCAGTTCGCCCAGGGTTTGCACTTCAGTGCCCTTTCATTAATTCTCGCACTTGAAGAAGAAGAAAGAATTTACACAACTACAGTTGGCTCACTTACCTTGTGAAATTGCTTAACTAGTCATATACAATTAATTTTCTACCTTGTCACGTGTTTTTCATGTGTAAATGGAATCACATTCTCTATGTATTATATTGCTTGTGCTAGCTCCTCAAAATTGTACTGTATTCATTGCTATTTTAGGGGGGGGAGCTTTCTAGTCCAGTTATCTGATTGTATGATCACTAGTGGTAGAAGATCACACTATGTCGGATATTCTTGTGTTAACTTACAGGAGGAGGTGAAATTCTCATGCTGCTTCTACTAGTTCCAGCACACTGTTTTGCGCAAGGTGATCCTTGATATTGTTGTGCTATCGCCTAGCAACCTAATCTAAATTGTAGCTATGGGTAAGTAGATCCCAATGATGACCACTGGACAAAATTTTGGTACCGAATATAATAGGCATGAAACATACCCCATGCCAGTACGAACTCGTATATACACGGTGATGTCACATATGCATAAAAAATTTGCACTCCAACTGTGTTTGTTTATCTTTTCCAGAGATTCTCCATGCTCCCGAGAGTACAACCGTCTTTCTAAACCAATCAGCAGTTTTTACATGTGAGGCAAGAGGCGGCAAGACTCTGTGGAGAATCAATGGAACACAACGAGAGCTCCTTTTGCCTGTACTCTTTGATCTGGTTGTCTCAGAGATTACTACTCCTGAAGGTGTTTTGGTGACGAATCTGACCATCCCAGCCAGAGCCCAGTACAATGGAACTATAGTTCAGTGTCTGTCAGGGGTATTTGGTGGCCCCTTCGTGGAGAGTGACAATGCCACTTTGGCCATTCAAGGTATTGGTTCTTTACCTCAAAATGTTTGCTAAAGCTCTACCTGTGTTCACTTTCTCTGTGTCTGTTTGCTAAGCACAGCGAGATTTGCAGTAATGCTGTGTGTTTGTAACTTGCTATCGATGTTCTGGCATTACAGTCTATGCGGAATGACATTGATTAACCTTCGGAGCGCATGCGCAGCGAGGGTTACAGTACTTGGTCTGTGTGTCTGTCCGCCTGTTACTGCCACCACGTGCAACAAACAGGCCAAATAACAACACCAACAGGTTCAGCGCTACACTGGCTTCCTTTTAAATATGGTGATTTTCCTAACAATACTGCGTTCTAAAGATATGGTGTGAAAACCAAGTGAATGAGCCAATATGCTAATTAGCACAGATTTATCTCGACCGGGTCCGATTGTGTTTAAGGAGGAATACACCAGATTGGGGTGAAAGGTCAAGTGACCATAACTATTAACTGTTTTATACAGGAGAGGAGTGCACTGTAACCAAATAGTTGATTCCACTGTTGTTAATTTCAAAGGCTCTAGCTAAGCCCCTTGCAAATCTGTATTGTGTACTCAATTTTAACTAGCCCTCACGAAGCTTGTGCATACATAGCATTACAATACTTGGGTTGTGGGTCACTTTATAAATGAATTCGCCTGAGTGCCGGAAGTGTTTTTGTACAAACTGTTTATACAGGTACCACATGACATACTCTTCTACCTTAGCCTGTAGCCTGTTTACACTGCTTCCCACTGCACCAACAACATGCCATTTGTGCCATTCAGACTACTCGATTAGCCTCTCCTCTCCAATGTGACATGTACAAGATACACTGAATTGTATGCTCAGTGGGCACCTATCAGTTGTGCATACACATGCACATGGATATGTAGATGTAATGTGGCATAAATGGACTCACATGGTGGATGGTATGATGGCTGTTTAGGGCCATCCATTTCCATCTAACTTTCTGCCATTTCCATTCAACTTTCATTTCCATTCCACTTCCATTTCTCCATTATAGACTTCCATTTCCATTCTGGTCACGTGGTTTCGTGTGGTTCGACCTTCTCTGCGAACATAGTTCATAGAACATAGAAGAGGTTCAGTGCAGTTGAACCACCCGGAATTTGTGTAATTACTTGCGTGGTTATGCAAATCGCATCCTCGGCCCCTCTCCTCCTCCTAGATCCTCGGTGTTCTGACCTAGGTCATCACGTAACTGTTTATTGTTCTCTAATTATCCCGCTCCATAGCTAGCTACATCCAGCTCTGTCTCCATCGCGAGCTCAGCCATGGCCGCTCTTGATACGCACTTCTCACATTGAGATTGTTCGTCCAAACCAATCTGAGAAGTGCCTGAGCTCGCGATGGAGACAGAGCTGGATGTAGCTAGCTATGGAGCGTGACCAGAATGGAAATGGAAGTCTATAATGGGGAGATGGAAGTGGAATGGAAGTTGAATGGAAATGGTAGAAAGTTAGATGGAAATGGATGGCCCTAAACAGCCATCATAGGATGGTAATGATTTCTTGGTAAAAGGACTCCAAGTAGCATGTACTCAGTTCTACAACCTAATTGCCAGATAGTTAGGCGAACATATTAATCAATTCTAGGTGGATGGTGGTATGACTTTGAATCACTGAAATGTATTTTCATTGGCTAGTATTTGTTCTTGCGCGCACATGCAATGGACGTACTAGAAAAATATTTGTTCTGATTGTAATTTACTGAATTGCATCCAGGTCCACTGTCAGCAGTAGGTGATTTGAAAGTTGATGCTAAAAATGGCACCTCTTCGACCATCTCATGGACTGCTCCATTCTCTCTGGATGTGACTGGTGTTGATCCTGATATCTGGTACTCTGTCCTCATCTACAATGTGACAGATGAGAAAAACCTAACAGCTATCCTCTGTACTGACTGTATCAATATCACTGAGACACACTACACCTTCACTCCTGACTACCTCAGTCCTTGTCATGTGTACATATTCTCTGTCATCCCTCTGAATGGAGCTGGCCAGGGAGAGAGCAGTCCCAACATTACTGATGGTTTGTTTACACTAATGCATGGTGGAAGTGGCAATTCTCTGTTTAACTCACAGAAACCAAATTTCCTGAAGTGGAAGTTGAAGCCCTGAATGATAGCCATTGTGAAGTTGCATTCAGTCATGTAAGTGTGCATAATTATTATTTTAAGAAAGATTCTTATGTACTTCAACTGTTATTTCTTGCGCGTGGTGGCAGAAAACGTGGTAACAGACACACTGACAGACAGACAGACAGACAGACACACTTACAAACCAAGTACTGTAACCCTCGCTGTGCATGCGCGCTGAGGGTTTAGTAAGTAAAAAAAACGGAATATGTATTGTTGTGCTTGATGTACCATATTTAACCCTCGGTGCACATGCGCAGCGAGGTTTACTGTAGTTGTGGTGTGTGTCATTCATTCTGTCAGTTAAGTGAGAACTCACTTCTCCGTCATAGATTGCGTCCAAAACGGGTTTACATACCCAGCGGCTGATGGAGGTCAGAAAATATGTGGGATTTTCTCTGAAACTGCTTTTGTTGCAGAGCTAGAGCGTTTTACTGTTCGTACGGTGCAGCAAGGGCGGCCATTTTAACAACGCGCATGTGTGTATATACCAAAACGCATGCGACTCTGAGGCGGCAGGCGGCGCACGCTGATTGGGACCACGTGGCCAGCAGCCATTTTGTTTTCCCTCATTTGGACTAGACAGAGAAGACAGCTGAGTTCAGTAAGTATGCCTCCAACTAAGGCGTTTTAATTGTAGCTCACTAGGGTTAGGCTTGGGGGGAAAGAATAATCTTATATATGAACCTAAATACAGCACCAGTAAGTACAACAATTCTACCAGACCTGGTGATACCATTGCCCCACCCATTACTTTACATAATTGTGCGTGTGTGTTCACTATTATCACTGCGCCGAGGGTTTGCACTTCAGTGCCTTTCATTTCTTTTGTCTTCTCCTCATTAGTGGCATTTGTAACTTTCCTCATTTACCCTAGGAGCAAGTGCACACTGTATCTGTTTATAATGATACGGTTGAATTTGATGCCAACAATGGTACAAATGGAACTGTTTTCATTCTACCTGCTGATGGAGAATACAGTGCTACCATTGAAGATCCCACGGCCTGTGGAAAAGAAAAGATAAACAAATTCAGTAAGATATGTAGCATGATGCATGGGTATACAGTGGACAGAGGGATTAGACAATGTGTGAAGATGACTCTCAGCGCAAGCGCTGTTATAGCCAAGCATGCAACGAAATGTACACTACCCACTACGCATGGGCAAAAAGGCCTGCTAATTCATTGCCTGAGCCATTGTTGCTGACAATGTCAGTTTCTTGCCTTGGCAGCTTCAATGGGTAGTGTTTGAGCAACACTGGACTTTATACTTATATTCCTACCATGCAAACACTAGTCGAGGTAAGCCATTGCTCATTAACTTGAATACCCATACCTTTGTTTCGTTATGATCGCTCATTGGCTGCCTCGGAACACAGACCAAGTGCTGCGCATGTGTCCTGAAAGTTATTAATAAAAGTGTATGTTTGTGGTCCTGTGTGACATCTATTGTAGGCACATATGCCAACACCAATTAATCCTTACAGCACACTCAGCACACTTTCACCCCATTCATGCACTGTTACAGCAACCTATGATGTTCAAGAGCCCCATGCAGAGTCAACTGATGGTAGAAAGATTGTGGTAAACGGAGTGCTCATTGGTAACTCGCGTGCAAAGGGATGCTTTGTAGTGATTCAGTGCAATTTCAGTACTCAAATTACCTTTATTGCATTGAAGCGTAATGGAGAAAATCGGAGACTCTCTGGGGCAATCTCAACGCCTACGTCAAATTACACTGTTTATATGCATGATCTGGAGAAAGATGGACTTCCAAATGTACATCCAGCTAACCTTGTCCCTTTTAGTGTTGATATTACGCGTGGTGACGAAAAACGTAAGTTATTGTGGGTATAAAAGTGTTGTTTAAGCATTTGTTTGTGTTCATTTTATAGACCAAGCTCCTAATGATGAGAACCTGAAGAATGCCAGCATCTCCCTGCTTGGCTCAAGTTTGGAAATCACCTGTACTCCTGATGAGCAGAGTGCATCATGTATTCTGGTCTACAGAGCATATGGCAAATATATGTTGAACTGTGAAGAAACATTTCCTGTTGTAATCAATCTTGATCCTGACATGAACTACACATTTGCACTGTTCAGAAGGATAAACAACAATACTGATGAAAGGCCATTTTTAAACATGTTTTTCGAGGGAAAAGAGGATCCTTCACAACAACACCCATTATCAGCTGGTAACTACCTGTTCCAAGCACAACAGTGGGGCTTTTGTTGTAATAATTATTCTATAGTGTTCTGGCGCATTTGACTACTTTAGATATATTGAGTGTAGCGCTCACCAAATGTTGTCTTTACAATACAACTTCTTATTAGGGATAAAAGATGGTGGAGAAAGAGCTAAAACCACACCATCAATTTTAGCTGTCATTCTTGGAGTCTTGGTGGCTTTGTGCTGTTTCATTCTTCAGGTTGTTGTGATCGTTATAGTTTTTTTTTCACTAATAGCTATTTCTCTTTAGTTTGGTTGCACTGCTCCACTGATGGGCAGGATGGATGAGGACGGTTGTAGTAAAAAAGGGAGTAAATATGCAATGGTGGAGACCAGTTTACCAGTAGTGAGACCTTCTATCCCACATGCAATACAGTCCAGGACCAGGAGATTGACATCAGCGTTAGTCATGTCGGCTGATTATCACATGATAGTCACATGACTCATGTTATGTACATCCTGTCTCTCTCCTCAGAGAATGGCTCGTTCTCAATATGCTGAGTCGGGACCTCTTCCTACCAACAAACCCAAAACTTTCGATGTGGATACCAAGACACAGTGTCCTTACGTCACAGTCCTACCTAATGACACTACTCCTGTCTATGACAATGCCAACATCGGTTAGTAGTTTTAGCACCATGTATACATAGGTGATTGTAATCTTGTGTTCTACTATCTGTCACAGACAAGAGGTATGCGGACAAGGCAACACCCAAAGGTTGAAAGACTGCAATGCTTTGTTATACTTGTCCTACATTATTACATGTCTTCCCACCCCCCAGGACCCCCTACAGTGGAGTCAGTGATGTCACTGTTGTGCACCCATGAAAGGCATTTAATATCAAGCAGCGTATATAATATTATAACCTGTGTAATTGTACAGCTTACAATAATGGATATACACACCAGCATATCTGTGGTTCACTGTGCAGTATTACTTGTGTATTGATACCATGTACCCTATGTGTTATACCCTGCTGTATATCCCATTTTACATCATGTGTATTTTGATAGTATTTTTGCTGTTTTCAATATGCCATACAATGTATAATTTTGATTCAATAAACCAACAACGTGATATACAGCTTACTATTCCAATCAAAATGAAAAGCACTAAAGTGCAAACCCTCGGCGAACTGCGCATGCGGGGTACCACTAATTGATCGGCTGGGCTTTTTATTTCTTTACTCGTAGTATCTCGCTAGTAGCTCGCGGAGAGTCTGACACGGGCTAGCTACAGTAGTAGATAGCATGCGAGAGTCGATACATGCCCTTCGTTGTGACTTCTTGTGCCTTCAAGAAACACAGAGCGAGCGGACGCGGTCGAGGTAAGCCTGTGCTAATTTGCATATTAGCTCCTTGACTTGCTTTTCACGCCATAACTTTCGAACACAGCATTTTTACCAAAATCGCTATTTATAAAATAAAGCCAGTGTGGCACTGAACCCGTTGGTATCGCTTTTTGGCCGTCTTGTTGCGCGTAGCGGGAGAAAACGTGGTAACAGACAGACAGACGGACGGACGGACGGAATGACAAACCAAGTACTATAACCCTCTAGCGCATGCGCGCCGAGGGTTAATGATAACAAAGTGATTGCTCAGTGTTTGAGTGACACATAATATAGAAGTACCAACGTCTAATCGAGGAGTGGAGCCTTAAACTAATTTCCACCCATTATAAACAATATTGTAACGGCATTTTTTGTAGGACTGGACTAAATTGTTTTTGGATCGTTGATAACTCCCAGCAGGTGCTTTCAACTTTAAGCAGAATAAATTATTTTTCTACGGCCAGGCATTTTGATAGCTACGACTTTTCTACATTGTACACAAGCATTCCACATGTAGCACTCAAAGAAGCTTTAGAGACTGTAGTTCAGAAAGCATACATGGTGAGAGACAGTGAGTTCATTATAGCAGATAGTACTGGAAATGTGTACTGGTCTAATGTACCATCGAACTCCTCATCGAAACAGAATATTACTGAAGAGATGCTAGTCACATATGTGGAATACTTGATAGATAATATTTATGTTAGTATAGGTAATAGAATATAGACAGTGTATAGGGATTCCAATGGGAACGGATTGTGTGCCGTTGGTGGCAAATTTGTTTCTGTTTTACTATGAATAATAATTATAATTATGAAGAATATATAAAAACTAATTTGATGCTGGCAAAAAGATTTAGTAACACAATGAGGTATATTGATCATTTGCTGACATTGAATAACACATCGTTTAATTCAACCATTGATGACATACCCGGAGGAGCTTAAACTAAAAAGAACATCTGAATCACCAACAACACTGTCATACTTAGATATACATATAACTATAACAAATGGGAAATATACCACGGCAGTATAATATTATGATAAACAGGATGATTTTAACTTCAAAATTGTAAATTTTCCGTATCTAAGTTCAAATATTCCATCTGGACCAGCATACGGAGTCTATATTATTCTCCCAATTAGCTAGTACGTATAGGTAGAATATGTAGTGATTACTCGGATTTTACGTTGAGACATTTCAAACTAACGGAGCGACTGATTCATCAAGGATACAGATACTCCAGGTCCTTTTATAAGTTTGCTAAAAAGCACGCACAAATTATGATTAAATATAGCTGCGGCATACGCAAACATGTGGAGAATGGTATATGTCTACCGGCAATGGATAGGCTTCTCAGTCGCCATGTCTCGCATAGATAGAATGTATAATTATATTTATAGTCACATATTTATTTCGGATAATCTATTTTTAACATTTCTATTTCTACCATTTCTACTATTATTTATATATTTCTTACACGTGTAGCTATATGCTGTGTGTTATTTAAAGTAATCGACAGAACTATCAATCTTATTTAGAAGTTTTTTTTTTTTTTTTTTTTTTTTTTTTTCTTGCACGTGTATATGCTGTGCGTTATTTAGAGTAATCGCACGTTTTTTTATGTCTCCGTCGTGTCGTCGTGCTGTGTGAGTTTCAGAGATTTTATATTTTTCTATGAGTTTATTGATACTTTGAGGCTTTCTATTTTTCTACCGGCTGTTGTTTTTATCCTGTAGCTATCGTTTTTTTGTACATGATTTCTATCTAATTATTTTCTAACTATGTGTAAGGTAGGTAGGGACACTGGGTGTGTAGGGAGAGTTGGGCCCATAAAAGACTCTTTTAACCTACCGCCCCGGTTCTCAAGGCTGGCACACAGGGTCCTGCCTCTTTCTTTCTGTTTATATGTTATTGTCTGTGTTTTTGTATGCTTGGGTATGTTATTATCTGTGTTTTGTGTGCTTGGGTGGGAGAGGTTCTTTCTTTTCCTCTG